GGCGACAGTGGGAACGGTGCTGTGGGTGTTACTGATGGAGGACGTGTCTGGGAAAACGTGCTGCTTGGCTACATCACGCACGTGTGTAGGTGGGGAGTATAAGCCTTCTTTTGTCAGGGTTCACAAATCCGATAATATCTGCAGAAGGGTTAGAAGTGAGGGGTCCTCGGCTCTTTTCCTCGCAAGGTTGTTATCTCGTGTTTTCTGGCATGTCCCTCACTTCTGACGGGCGGAGGTGCGAGTGAAAGAATGAGCCCACGAGTGTCGTGTGCACTTAACTGTGGACTGGCCGCTCCAACCACACAATCATCTCCTTTCCCCGAATTCCCGGCCAATGTGCTTCCTTACAAGAGAGCAGCAGCGCTATTTCTCACAGATATGACTCTTGTTCAAGGATCTGAGGCCTTATTTAATTGCTTAATGTAGTTATTTATTTTTTTAATGTGGCCGAACGTAATGCTACGTTTTTGTTTGTTTGTTGTTGTTGTTTTTAGTAGCTCCTTTCAGATGCTAACACCATTCTGATAGCTCATGCCAATCCTTGTCTCTGGATCTCCAGGCAGGCCTTTCTCTGCTCTCATTCTCTCAGCCAGGTTACAGTGCGGGTTCTAGAAAGTGTACCCAGGACTAGGTCAACATGGACAGTGGAGGGGGTGGTGAAGGAAGTGGCCGAGAGACCGTCCTGTAAGGACAGGGAAAGCCCTCTCTTTTTCCTTGCAGTGGCCTTCCACCATTTATGAGAAGTACCTGGTAATTAAACACCAAGATTGTTGTCTTAACAAACAGCCGCTCTGTTCAAACTAAGGGACAAGATAGCTACTCTCAAGGCTACATTCTTGCTACACCTCCTCCCTGCTGTTTTCACATCTCAGGGATAATTCCCACCAAGGAGTCTCTAGTTAGAAAGTTTCCTTCCTTGCCCCCCTTCAAACAGGCCTCTTTTGAATTATTCATCACGTTTGCTCTAAGCGTGTGTTGCAGGCGTGGGAAAAATACTGATAAGACACTTCCTAGGACATCTGTAGGACTGTCTCCCAAAAAAACAAACTCCACTTCAGCCCTGAACCCTCCTCCCTTCCTTGTCACTTAGCAACAGCCAAGGCTTACAAAGGGAAGCCGCCCTTTTGTTTCTTGCCTGGCCCTTTCCCTTCGTGGAAAGTAAAATAAACTTCCTCTCTGTATCTCCTCCTTTGGTTGTGAATTCGTTCACAGCCCATGTTGGCAGCCAAACCCCAGCACGTCCGACATTTGTAATCTGTTGACATAGTTCTGCATCTGCCTTGAAATATGTATGGCCAGTCGGCAAGTTTCTAAACTCAGACTTTTCACTAAAAATTCTGTCCATGAAATAGTAATAAAACCACCAACAAGCACGCGCTCTGTGCCAACTCGAAGCGTGTCACAGCTGTTGGCGCATGTCCTGTCTTGGAGGTGTGCTCAGCTTTCAAAGGAGACGGAGCAGAACGTGGGGTGTTCTCTGTGGGCCCACCCTGCTGATACGTGACTGAGAGACGGACACGAGTGTTCTTCATTGTGAGGAGGGATTTCCACACATGAGCAGGTGTGTGTGGACCCCAGCTGTCCTGTTGCACCAGCGATGACAGCAAGGGTCCCATCATCAGATGGTACGTGGCAGGTCCAGGAGCCTGTGGGTCAGGTCCAGCAGGCCTGGCCCTGAAACCCAAGCTGATACGGGACGGCCACCCCAGGTCCTGGTTCTCTTGGTGGAGATGAGGACGAGGCCGCTCCAATCAGCCCGCTCTTCTTTCCGAAGGACTGCTGGCCGGTTTCTCTAACAGAAGACAGACACTTTGGCGTGAAGGGATGGATCGTAAAACACTAAGGAAACCAAAAGCTTCTAAGGTGGTCTGGCCCCACGGTGTGACCCAGATTTCTGTGAATTTACAGAATCCACGTAAAGGCTGAAAATCGAGGCGTTTTCCAATGTCCCTGCCTTCACCAGCCTCTCCCCCTACACCGTGAGCCTCACTGGATGTGGGACACGTTATACAGCAGGATCCTCCCCTGTCACTCTTGCTCCGGGCTCTTTATCCAGAGAAATAACCAAACAAAGACAAAAAAATGAGCAAACAAATATCTGGGAGCTTCAGGTTATAGACATGTAGATAGTGATGATGCTGGTTTATGCTGAAAATACAAAATCAGACCGAAAGGTGTATGAAATAGAACCTGCTACTGGGGACAACATGGGGATAACTATTCTTCAATCAATAGGAAAATATTATATAGAAATGTTTGCATAGAAGTATATAAGCGTCTATTTATAATAATAAAAGCATAATATGCTAATTAGTCCAGACTGCCGAACAGTGGAGCAACCATCCGGACCACCTTCCGGACGAAGCCAGGGCTGCGAGGGCCGAGCCCCTCGCACGAATTTCGTGCACCGTGCCTCTAGTTGCTATATATACTGACACATTATATTAATCGAGAATATACTGCTTTTCTCCCAGCCGGTGTGGCTCAGTTTGCTGGAGCTTCATCCTATTCACCAAAAGGTGGCGAGTTTGTTTCCCGGTCAGGGCACATACCCAGGTTTCGGGTTGAAACTTCTGTCCAGTGCTTATAGGAGGCAACTGGAAACAGGTCGATGTTTCCCTCTTACATCGACATTTGGTGGAAGAATCGCTAATGAGATTAAACATATGGGTTCTGTTGGATTGTTTCCATTTGTCGTATTTGTATTCTGTGGATTTTCCCCTCTTTTCCTGCCAGCTTTGGTTTAATTGAGTCTTATTATTGCTCCAATCTATCTCCACGATGGGCTCATTGGATGAAACTGTTTAAAACTTTAATGGTCTCCCTAGAATTTAAAATATCCGTCATTAATACAGCACAGCTTACCTTCAGATGATACTCTGTCACTTTGTGAATATTACAATAACCTAAAATGCATATATGTTTCATTTCTTTTTTCTTCTTTTATGGCATTCTTATTTCATCTTTTATTTTACTTGTTATAAAGCCCACAGCATATTTGAACTATTTCACTGTACATAGTCAATATTCTTTAGAGTAATCAACTTTAAGAAAATATATTTCTATTTGCCTTTATTTCAATGACTTTACAGCTTTTGATGTCTTTGGGAAGACCTGGCTTCTCTTTGATTTTCTTCCATCTGAAGAACTTCTGGGACTTTTCTGTGGGTCAGGCCCATGGACCTGAATCCTCCCAGCTTCTGGTGTTTCCTGAAGGTCGTCATGTCACCTGAGAGGGGTTGGGCTGGGCATAGGAGCCTGGGCGGAAAGGTGTGGTTTTCGCATGTCAACGATGCCTCCCCATGGAATTCTCATTTCTTAGTTCATGAGGACAGGCTGCATTTCTTAGGCACTGGTCCCT